TCATACGAAAAACGTTGTGATTTTATAACTCCATACGAAAAACGTTGTGAGTTTATAACTTCATACGAGAAACCATGTGAGATTATAAGTCCATTTGAAAAACATTATGAGTTTTTAATTACAAATAAAATCCAAAATTCGAATTTTTAAACTCATACGAAAAACGTTGTGATTTTATAACTCCATACGAGAAATAATGTGAGTTTATAATTTCATACAAGAAAAAATGTGAACTTATAAGTCCACACTTCCACTTTATGAACTTATAAAGTCATACCATTTTTAACAGTGCATTACTTATTATTATTTTTTTATTTCAACTTTGTTCTTTAACAACAACAACAACAACAACAAAAATAAAAAAGTAATCAAATATCGAATCGAATCGAAATTCCAAAGGATGGACAAATTCTTGTCCATTCATTTTTGTTTTTCACTTGGCTAATATAACAATTGCAAGAATTTAAGAAATTCTTTTGAATTCTCTTTAAACGAAATTCCATTCATTTATTTCATTTCTTATTATTATTATTATTGCTATTCTGGATTGAGATCGCAATTTTTTTTTTCGTTTCTCTGGACCAATCATCATAATAATAATAATCATTATCAGCTATTTTGGATCTCCAATGACTGACTGACTGACTGTTCTGTGCTGGTTTTCTTCATGTTTTTTTTTTTTTGTTTCTATTGACAGCAAACAATGGCGCCAAAAGGCGTATTTTTTTCGTTTTTGTTCAAATATATCTTGTATAGGTTTACAAGAAATTAATTAGCTTTCATTTCATTTCTTTCGTTTATTATTATTATTATTATTATTGGTTGTGTTTTTTACTGTTGTTCGATGATTCTGTACTATCTCACTTGTCTAATATCATAGAATCTATTCGATATTTTTTGTTTTCTCATAATGTTCAATCGACAACAACATGAACAACAACACAATACAATAGAAACAAATGAAACATCAACAGAATTCTATTTGATAACATAACATAACACACACACACGCAAGATAATTGATGAGATTTTCTTTTCTCCTTGTGTGTGTTTGTTATATATTTTTTCCAATTCTGGAACTCTTTATCCAAATAATAACAACAACATATAAAAAAACTACAACAGCAAACATGGTTTTTTTTCTCTTTAATTTTCTTCATTTTTTTTGGCCATCTTTTCTCTTCGTGATGTTCAGAATAGAACGTAATAAAGTAATGAAAAAAAAAATGAAATGAAAAAACACACACAACTTGATAAACAGAATCTTGAAATAATAATAATAGGAAAAAAAATTCAAAGATTCGTATAAATAAATTCCCCTGTTGAGATTTCTATCATCAACAAACATAACTTATCATTTTGAATCTTTTGTTCCATTTGTTGAACAATAGCAAGGAATTGAAATTGAAATGAACAGAATTCAATTCTATAGTCACTAAACAAACATACAAACATACATTCACTGAAAAAAATGACAAATATCAAAATCAAATGACAACAACAAACTATTATTTTCCATTTTCAAATTAAATTTTGTTTTTTCTTTTTCAATTTCGATTGAAATCTATCTGTTTAAAAAAAGGATGAAATCGAGAAGAAAGAAAAATTGTAACAAAATTTTCTTGTAATAAAATGAAACGAAAATTTCCTATTTCAAAAAAGAATTGAAAAAACATTCACAAAAAATATGTCCAAATCTAATGAACAATTTGATTTTTCGTCATCGTTGTCGTTGACAACGATTGATGATGATAATGATGATTATGCAAAATCATCATATCGAAGGTCAAATCATCAAAAACGGTGTTGGTTTTGGTATGATCATTGGTTTAAAACCATTTCAAGAACGTTTATTCTATTGATCATTATTATAATTATGTCATCATTATCATGGTCTACGGCTAATTTTGTAAATTGTAATGTCCATTCTGTTGAATCTCAATCATCATCATCTTATCAATTTTCTTATTCATCATCTTCACCATTACCATTGCCATCACCAACAAAATCAACAACAACAAGTAAAAGATCCACAATTCTTGAAACTAAACAAATTGATCAAAGGATATTTGTTGATAAAAATATCGATATCGATGATGATATCGATGGTGTTCGTGATAATGTTGCCTTATCTTCATCTTCATCTTCTTGTATTCCACCATCATCATCATCATCTTATCGACCAAAAAAACGACAATATAAACGATCTCTTTATTGGAGAAATTCTGATGATGATTCTGAACAATTATCATCATCCTCGTCGTCATATGATTCAACGATTTATGAAAAACATGAACCACCAACATTTGCCTTAAAATTACGAAATAAATTTCAATCATCATCATCATCATCAACAATGATGATAACAACGACAACAACAGCCGCAACAACAACAACTAAAACACCGATAACGACAAATAGTGATTTCAATTTTTTTCATTATCAATCATTAAATGATGATCAATTTATGTTGGCTGATAGTCCCCAAATGGATCCAATAGATCCAGTTGATAATGACGATGATGATGATGTTGATGATGATAATGATTTTTATCCATCATCATCATCATCATCATCTAAAAAACAACGTACACGTATAACAAGACATCGGCATAAAAATTCGGAAAAAGATTTTGGTAAATTTTATGTTTTTTTTCAAAACAGAAAATTATGATTTTGTTTATTAAATGAAATAACATGTACTTATGGAATTACACCTTTGGGGCCAATTTTTTTTTGTTTCAGTTGTAAAGCAACTATTTTTTTGGAACGATTTTGATACAATATTTCATTTCATTTTTCGGAAAAAAAGAAACATATCTCATTTGAGAAGGGAAATAACGGGTTAATTTCATTTTCATTATCATCATGAGACATTTTATAAAATGTAATAATAATCAGTTTGTCGTTACCATGTGTGTGTGTGTCTGTGTTTGGTTGTGAATTGAATGTGAAACAAGAGAAAAAGATAAAACTATGAACCGGATTTCAGCCAAGGAAAAAAACTCGATACAAAAAAAAGAGAAAAAAAATTATCGCTGTTAATCATTACAAATGGATGAACATTTTTTTTGGGTGAAAATAGTGCAAAAATGAACCCAAAATGATTCCAGTTCCATTTGCTGTAGACGAAAAAAAAGAATCTTCATTCATTTCTTCCGAATGGATTGGCCTTAACTTTTTTTCTGTTTTTGTTTTTTGGTCTTTAATTCTTAATTACTGATTTAATTTGACAGCTACGACAACCAGATTCTTTATTTTTTTCCCATTTGCTCTATCTCTGCATGTGTGTTTTTTCTTTTCGGCATCAAACACCAAACACACATATATCAGAATGGAACCTGTTATCAACAAACACACACACATACAGGTCTCTAATGGAATGTTTATTATAATTAAAAATAATTATTTGTTATTTGTTTGTTATTTCTCCTGGTGTATTAATTCAGGGTTAAAAATATAAATGAAAGCTGTTTTTTCATTTCGCATTTCGTTTTGATTTTATTTTTTCACGAGTAAAATTGCCAGTAAAAATCAAATTTGTCGATCATAAAATCATTATCGTAAAATACGAAATATATGAAAAGTGAAAAAATGATTGATTAAATGAAATCATAAAGTGGGTTAACCAAAAAAAATCGATATCGAAATCGATAATAATATTTTTATTCTGATTCCAATCAATCAATTATCAATAAATTACAAATTCTAATTTAATTTTCTTTTCGTTTTGTTTTCCATTTTTTCATATTATAGAAATAATTGGTACATTAACCGGTGTTGCTGGTGGAAAAATTGCCTTACCATGTAATATATCAACATCAACGCCCAAAGATTCAGTTTCATTAATACTTTGGTATAAAGATGAATCAACTACACCTATTTACAGGTAAATGTTTTGAATGTTAATCAAATCAAGTGATGCCTGTTTTAGCTAACAACATTCTGAAAAATAATTTAATTTAATTTTCTTAATTAAAATTTTTCGCATTCTTTTTTTTAAATTTCTATTTTAACTTGTTTTGTCGGTCTACCATTTATTTTGCAAACAAAAAAATAAAATGTTTTTTAGCATTTCAAAATCAATGACAACAACAACAACAACATTATTAACACATTGTAACCAAAAACAGAAAAAATTGACATGGATGGTTTTTTGTTTTCAGTGGAAATAAAAACAACATATTATTCACTGATTTTGATTTTTCTTTTGATTTGCAAATTTTCCACTATATCTACCCAAAAATGACATAAACATGACATATTTGAAATTATTTTTGTTTTTTATTCTTGCCATCACGCCATTCTTATTTTCATTATTGTCATCATTCCTCAGAAACAATGATTTTCTCATTCGACATTTATACAATTTACATTTCGATTCTTTAATAGATCGGTTTTTATGTTGTTGCTGGTGCATATTATATAAGAATTGTCAAGGAAAAAAGAAAAAATTTTAAAAAATCAGGCCACGAATAACCACAAAAAATATACATATCATTTGTATATAGGAATCATGTTCGTTTCACACCAAACAACAACAAGTTCATGTGAAAATGGATGTTTTTTCCTCTCTTTTACTTGCTTTTTTTTCCCTCACTGTGTGTCTATGTGTGTTAAAATTTGAAATTCTATTTTCAGCTGTTCGTGTGTTCAATATTGGTTTTTGTTGTTTTTTTTGGCCATAATTTGAATGTTTTTCAGTTTTTGCATAGCCAGCATTATATACAGTTTGTTTCTGGTTTTGTTTGGTCGATTTGACATCAATTTCTTGTTGTTGTTTTTTTTCCATTCAGTTAATGTTAATGTGAATATTTTTTGTGGGTGTCATATTTTTTACAATCAAAAACGATTCACATGAAAAGAGAAAAATATTTGTAAAATTGCATGACATTTTTTTTCCTGAATGCGAAGCATCTGATAATGTTGTTGTTGATGATGATGATGATGATAATAGATAGGAAATTGAATCGATCATTTGAAGAGTTCAATTATGGTCATTTCTTTCTTTCCTTTTTTAGTTTCCAACTTTAGTTTTCAATTTTCCGCATCTTTTTTTTCGAATTGATTTTAATGGCTGTAGACATTTTTCTAGCTATTAGAACATTCTTGCCAAAAAAAAAATTCCATAATGCAAGAAAAAAAAACGAAAGGAAAACAAAATTGAATTTTATCTTATTCTTATGCACGATAACTATCTTTTCATTCGATTTTGTATGATCAAAAAAACGATCATCCATCATCATAATCGGAATTTTATTTATTTATTTTCTTGTTGTTGTTATCGCTGTTGTTGTTTCTTTTATCCTATGATAATCACATTGAAAAAAAATTGAAAGAAAAAAAAATTGCTAGAATAATCACCAAAATCATCATCATCATAATTATTGGGCAAAGGAAACAAAAAAAAATGAAATGATAAAAATAATTGATTCTGTGTTTCCTGATGATGATCAGGAATCGAAATGATGATAATAATGATACTAGAAAACTAGTAACATGAGCATTCATTTCACTTTCAATTTTTTCCAGTGAAAAAAAAAGTTTCCAAATGAAATTTTGTCTCATTGTTCCAATTCTATTTGGCCACCAACAATTAATCTAATGTGGATGATTATTATGATTATGATTATTATTATTCAGTTTGTATTTTATAAACTCACATTTATCGATGAAATGTAATGCTATCATCATCATCGTGGATGAATGAATGAAACATTATCATCATCATCATTATTTGTACAGAAGCCAATCCAGAATTTTTTTTTGGCTTTTGTCTTTGCTTCTGTCTGGTTGGTTCTTTCTCTCTCTTAATATTATTATATCATTGTTTCCAGAATTTCACTATCTCGTTTTTTTATATGAAATTCTGTCAAAGGTTTTTTGTTTCTATTGTTACAAATGTTTTTTTTATTGTTTTGCTTATGAATTGAAAGATTGTCATTGAAGATTGGTTGTTTGGTTGTTGTTATGTGACTCTCTCTTTCTTTCTCTATATGACAATGCCAAATAGCATCAATTCAAATGATAATAATAATAACAATGTAATCTTCTTTTATTGACAAACTGGAAGAAAAAAAAATCATTCAATAGATATTTTGGGTCGTTGTTATCATCATCATTTTGTTGTTTTTAAATTCATTCAATTTGATTGACCGTTTTTGTTTTCGTTGTTTGTTGCTGTTTGTTGTTGTTAGTTGTTGTTAGCTTTTAGGTTGAATTGAAAGAAAACGAAAACGAAGGACAACAACATAATCAAATGAAAGTTGATATGTCCATTCTACAAGGAATGTTTTCTTCTTTTTCTTCATCATAGACATTGTTGAAACATAAACGTAAACCGAAAATAATTTGTCTTTGTCCTGGATCTGATGACAAACAAACAAACATCATTATCCAGTGGTTTCTTCTCCTTATATTTTCCTTCAGGCTATTTACACCACATTTCTAATTCTGGAACATGGCCAACAAAAAAAAATTTAATTTCCGACGCTAAGCTTCGATGAGAAAAGTAATACAAAATTCTTACCAGTGAGAAAATTCTCACACACAGAATCAAACAAACAAACCTGAATTATTATTTTCGGTTTCTCAAATAAATCAATCATTTGATTAATCATTATCATCATCATTTTCATTTTCATTTGTTTTAGCTTACTATTTATTATTCTTTTCTTTCTTTTCTTTTCTTCACTTAACATGATGATTTATGTTTGCTTCTATGTTTCTTTCTTTCTCGTTCTGTATTGTTTTTGTGCGTTTGTGTCATACAATAGATAAGAATAGAAGGCCGCCGAATTTGTTTTTTTCTTTTCTTTTTTGCTTTTTTTGTTTACTTGGAACCGTTTAATTTTATTTATTGCCATCCGATATAATTTTCCATTTTTTTTTCTTCTTGTTTCTGAGAAACTTTCTCCAATTTCTTTTACTATTGAAACGAAACGAACGCCCCTGTTCAAACCAATTTAAACAAGCGAAAAAACTTTGAAATTACAGATATCTCTCTCTCACTCTATATATAAATATAAATTGAAGTCGGCGTCATTCATCATGACGCCTTTTTTTCGTTGTTTGATCAAAATCATTTATCGAAACAATTTTTTTCCCTCATTACTAACGGTGTTTTTTTCTTTACTAATGAATCATTCGATTTATCAAATATAACCGATCGAATGATTTTACCTGTCGTCGTAATTGTCGATATAGAGATTGGCAAAAAAAAATAACAAATCGATTTTTTTGGAATTCAATTCAGGTCGCCAAAAATGCATAGAATATGGTTACATTATGAATTTACCAGAATAATTTTATCTCGAAAAAAAACAAGGAAAACTTTATGAATTTTGAATTTCTTTTCTTTTCACCATTCCCTTGTTATAAATTCAATTATTTAGATTTTGTTGTTGTTGATTCGATTTGTTGTTATATTCAATCATCATCATCATTCGGTTTTTTCCCCTTTCAATCTTTTTTCTGTGGTTTTTCTCATTCAATTTCATTTTCATTTTGTTGTTGTGATTGATGAATCCGTGTGTGTGTGGGTTCCGTTCTTTATCATTTCAATTTTTTTTCTTTGCAACCGAATTCATCTTCCTTCCTTTTTCTCGATTCTTCGTTTCTCTTTTTAGCATTAACAGAATTGTTTTTCGCTTCTCTTTACAAAAAACTATATGTTTTTTTCAATGTGTCAGTCAGGGCTTCTTCTGTCTTATTCTTCTGTTTTGTACTATTGTTTTTCCGGTTGAATTCAGTTGATTTGAACCATAAGACATTTTCATTTTCTTTTTTGCTCGTGTTCGTTTCCAATTGAATGTTGGTTGGCTGGTTGGTTGATATTCTCGAAACAATGAAATTGTCTTTGGTTTTTTTTTGGTTTGGTTTGGTTGGTTGGTTGTTTGGTTGTTTATTATTCTTTCTTATACTTTCAGTTACTTA